AGGAAAATGGTGAAATTAGCCCATTTGCGGCATCTCCTTTCCGAGAGAGGTCTGCTGATTCCCCAAATCAGCTCTTGGCAGGCAGAGCCAGAGAAGGTTCCTTGGAAGCACGATATCAGCAACCATTTGAAGATTTCAGGACGTCACAGGAGCAGCTATCAGAGCATTTTGACAATCGAGATAGAAGGTAAGTGTGTAGGAATTAAATTTACATATTTGGAGGCTCTGCATAGTAGACCAATTCTAATAAAGTAAATAAAGGTAAAGGTTTCACTGTCTAGTTGTGTCCAACTCTATGGCCGATGTTCATCTTTATATCTTAGCCAAGGGAGCCAATGTTGTCCGAAGACATTTCCATGGTCAAATGGCCAGCATGATTATAGTGGTATGCCGAGACACATGGAATGTTGTTGCCTTTCCACCTAAGTGGTACCTATTGATCTACTTGCATTTGCATGTTTTCGAACTGCTAGGTGGGCAGGTAATAGGAGCTCACCAAGCATGACGCTTGGGTCTCAAACTCTGGCTGTTCAGCTTTCCAGCTGACAAGCTCAGCATCTTTAATCACTGAGCCATCACACGCCACAATAAAATAAAATGAGGTATTTGTTTTCAAAGTTGGTTATTTTGACTTTATATGGTACTGGGCTTGTGTTGGCTGACTGACTGACTGCTTGGCCCAAGATACTTTATTATGTATTCTAGAGCTAAGTTATTCCATGATAGTTGCCTTATATTTTTTCCCCAACTATTTGCAACGAGGTCACATAGGGGAGGGAAATTAAACTTTTATAAAGTTGTCATTGCAAAGAATCCAAATAAACATTAATCCAGATGGCTGAGATGGAATTTTTTTATTATTTTTTGAAGGAAGAACATTATGTTGTGGAGTCAGCCTTCCATGTTACAAAGTACCTCCTACCCACTTGTCTTTTAATACTCCAAATGTCCCAAATGATGTTGCTTCTCTTTTTAGTACAAAATGTCACATTTCCAAACCCATCACCACCTCCACTGCCAAAAGTGGTCAATTCTATCAGAATGGAGAACAATGTGGTGAACTATTAATATTTAATGCAAAAGTATCCTGCCTTTACGAGTATGAGGCCATAAAAGTTTATTGGTTTTGGAAGAGGAACATCTAAGCTATCATTGGGACTCAGATGTTCCAGTGAAACTGCTGATCTCTTTTTTTTTCCCCCTAGCATGCGATAATTATTTTTAATTTGGTTTCACTTTTGTATTTAGCCCTTCTAAGGCGCTCAGGGCTTCACTATTTTATCTTCACAACAACTCGATTGGATAGGCAATGGGGACATTTCTACCTCTCAGGGTAAACTTACCCAATCATCAGTTTCATTGCTATTGTACAGATACCCCAACAGAATTCTAAGCAATATTTGACTAATTTTTAAAATGAGCCATTGAGTTGAATTTGCAATTCCTGTTTCTTTTCCCGCAGGTTCCTGCGAAAGACGCGGGTGAATGGGGATAACCGCCTCTAGCTCGTTTGCCTGCTGGAAAGCACTCCTCCGGTGCTTGTGATTCTCACGGATTGCTGTGAACTGGTTTCTATGGAAACGTCACATGCTTTGGCCTACTTTCAGGCAGCTTTTCCAGTTTCTGTTCTGAAGGATGTTCAAGTGGAAAACTTTTTTTTTTTTTAGAAAAGAAACATCAAACCACACATCAATCACTTTATTGTTGAGGAGAAAAAAGACCTTCAGAACCAAAACAGAGGGAAAAAGTACTGAATGTGTGTATCTTGTCAGTAGCTAAGGCTCAACACAAAATCCAGTCAGCAGTTTCCTTTTTCTGTGTCACTGAAGTTTCAGAGAGGATAATACCTCAGAGCTGCCAACAAAGCAGCTTTCCTTTACTCAGCTGAGAGAAGCTGATTTTTAAAAATTATTATTGTTAATTTTATTAAACTTCTTAATCACTGATGGTGCACAGAAAAAGATATTTCCATTTCAAGAGAAAGTACAATTATTCTCGTGGTATTAGAGCACAAGCCCAATAGGGCATACTAGGCCCGGTCTTTGGGGCCGTGTCAAGCTATGCAAGGTTTTAAATGTCAGTATTGAACAGAGCTGCCAAGTTTCTTACTTTGGCAGATCTTGGGTTTCATTAGCTGGAGTTTAAGTGCAGAAGACCATCAGCAAAGCTGTCAAATAGCCTCCTTTTAATGTGACCTCTTAATGACTAGTGTGAAGCAGAAATGGGCAACCCTGTAGAGGCAACTTTGAAGAGGTAGGAACAGACGGAATACATGAGCCAAAGCCAGCTCTGCAAGAGGTAGAGCTCTTGCCACTAACATATTTCTTTGCTGTCACTACTTCCATAATGCCGTTTCGGCCACTAGTGCTGGAGTAGAATAGTAGTGTAGGGCCATGTGCCCTGCTGCAATAGTTCTCATGACCAGTATTGCTGAAGAGAGGCCCTACAGATCTTTGTAGAGTTAACAAGCTAAGGAAGCACTTTTAGCTTCTCTGAGTTTTCACCATTGCACCTCTTATTTTGGAGGAGATTATTTTTTTTGTATAGGACCAAGCCATCTCCTCTTTTTAAAGGAAGTTTTTCTCCATGTTCTTTAGGTCAGGCCATCTGAAGGCAGTTGTCATTGTCATGATTTGCCAGTTACCCAGCGTGTCATAACATGTCTATTGCTACAGAAACAGTGAAAATTATATGCTGCTGTCTTTTGCCTACTAGCAAGGTGACAAAAACCCAAGAATAGTACTCAGTGTTTTTATTTTACTTTGCTGGATAAAGGAAAAGCAGATATATCCCAGTCTCCAAAGGCAAGCTTCACCATACACGGTCGTGTGAACAATGCATTGTTTTGACTTTCTGAAGAGGAGCTTAGATCCTCTAACTCCACCAGATGTATGGATAGAGACCTACCGTTTGTTGGGATGAATCAGGCTGCACAATAAAAGTTCTGAATTAATATACTGAAATCCAGCCGTGTATTTTGTAAGAAGAGGAAAACCGATTGGGATTCAAATTAACCCATGTGTGTTGTAGCATTGCTTGAAACAACAAAAGATTGCTTCAAGGTAGAAAACCAGGTTAAAAATTCATCAGTGAAGGTATTCCAGGCTCTTATAAATTTTGTCCTGAGACAGCATGCTTTAAAACGTGCACCATCACAACAAATGTGTGTTAAGTTAGTTTGTGATAGTAGGCACACACACTGGCAGAATGATGTCGCGAAACCAGGTTACCTCAAAAGCATAAATTGGCTGCCTTTAGATTGACAGATGGGTTTACAAAACCCAACTAATTTAAGCTAATGATGCTTTAGCTCATCCCAGGCCAGGAAATGTATGTCATGTATTGAATGTACAGGTCTCTCCCATTCATTGTGCTGACTATACAGTGTTTATTTCTACCAAGTTAAATACAAGATGAATTAGTTGAAAAGCATGGGGGTGGAATACTAGATTTACTTGTTACTGAGTCTGAATTTAAAGTATGTGCACAAAGTGTCTTGCTAAGCAAAGCTGAAGCTAATAAGGACACAGAGGAATGCTATGTGCCCATATAATTTACTTGTGTATATTTCATACTAGTAGTCCTATTCATTCTGGAGGCCAGACTCTGCAGATCTCAGTCGGTCATTATCCCGCCTGCTCTCCTTCCCTACAACAAGCTGAAGCTTAAGACATTTATCAGCTTGGGCTACCATACCTAGCTGAAAGTGTGTCTTTCCTGTGTTTGGCACAGAATTCCCAAACAAACAGATGATACAAAAGCACATTTTGGTTAATACATTCTTTTTTTAAAAAAAAAATCATGATACCCTTGAAATCCCTTTAGAAAGTGTAACTTTCTAAGTGATTTAAGTGTAACAAAAAACCCAGGATGGTGGAACATGTGTCTACTTTAAATAAGAGCAATCCTGCCAATTGTACCTAAAGCATGTTCTAATTATTGTGTTTGTCTAGCACTATAATGTTAAGACAGTTGATCAGATATTTGATGAAGATGGTTAAAGTTCCCTTTTTCTTTGTTTATATTTAGATTATTATCTCTGTCAATTTGTTCTTTTTGATTTTGTTTTGTTTCCTGTTTTCAATCATTTATAAACTGTCCAGAGTTGTTGGGCGGCATATAAATGGTCACATAGTCAGCCAAATGTTTACACTGGATTTGGCATTTTTATCTACCTACTGAGCCCTTCCCAAGGACTAGGATAGGCATTTGTGGTTGTTATTTTCCAAAAACACTTTCATGAATTACAATAATAAGCGTAGGCTAACACCAGCTAAAGAATTGGGAGCTTTCACATTGTTGTACATATAATAATAATTGACAAGATGTTTTTGAAAAACTAAGAGAAGGAAGGCCAACTTGAATTTGAGTCCCTGCCACATAACTGGATAATCAAACTAAAAGACATCACTAGAAATATCAGAAGCTTTGTGCTAAAATTAATGGCACAATAGAAGACCCAGCGGCTAGTCAATGGGGATAGACCGGGAGAGGTTAACATCGAGAGGCATATTTCAAGCAGACTCAGTAGAGTTGACAAGGAACCGTAGGTGGATGTGGAATGTTGCAAGTACACCAGACAGTTGAAAAAGAAGGAAGAATATCTGAAGGACAGTAAAAATATACACTGAAGTTAACACACCATGAAAGTCCACTGAATAGCAAACTGATCTATAGGAAAGATGCATTTAAATGCTATCAACTCATTATTCCTTCAATGAGAATATTAAAACTCCACACCTACTAGCCCTGCATTAGGTTGCAATGAGAACTAGACTGATCATCTTTATATCGGTCTAATCTCTAATGTGTGGCAGCATGGCTCTTCCCCACTGAGTTTGGAAAGCTGTGTATATAGGACAGTGGTCCACATTTTTCAAATCCACATGTACATACATTGATGGTGATTTTGTGACCAGCAAGTCGAGGTAACCAACTGTCATTTTGGCCTCCCCCCCCCTCCAAAAAAACCCATTTCATCAAGAATGTGCAGAAAGCGGTTTATTTCTCAATTGTTTATTTAAGACAAAACCAGTAAGGTCTCATTTCATCAAAATGTATAAGCAAGCTGTTCCCACCCTCATAGCCACATATACAAAATGAAGGGAAACTTGCTGCAGTTCACTTCGCAGAAGTGGCATCGTTGCTGAAAAAGAGCCAGCACCATAGTTGCCAGGCGCTGGTTCTCTCTTGCAGGAGAACTACATTAGCATTTACCCACATCAACAGCTTCGGTCTTTTCTTCAAAAAAGTTTTACCAAAAGTACAAAAATTAGTTGATTTTTGTCATGGTTTGTAAATTAATCCTACTCCTATATAAACAGAAGTTTGTACTAGCCAGGCGTTACTTACAATAGTTTTCCTATCATCAGCTTGGGAAGCTAAAAAGCTTAGCCAGTCTGCTTAGTGAGATAATTTTACAAAGGATGAAAAAAGCTTTATCCATCTGTCTTCAGAAAGCATCCTAAAACAGATGGTATCTACAAAGCTCTCCAAAAGCACCTGTAAATAATCCTTATCCCCGCTTATTCTAAATAGGTAACTTTGTTGGGAAAATAGAGGGGGGGGGATCTGTGTAAGATTGGATGGGGGGGGAGAGGGGAGATAATTCAGTATGCTGCAATTTTGCTTTGGCATGAATACTTTTCACTTACAGTATTTTTATCCTAAGAATAGAGCCTTCCTACTCATTAACAACATCAGGACACCTGGTTTTAAAAAGGAATACAAGTTTTGAAAAGTATTATATGTAAAGCTGATCCTGGGCACATAGTTTTTGGGATTTTTGTTTCAGATGTATTTTTGCTGGTCTTAGTAATATTCAAAAGGCATGTTGCAACTTTAGGGGAATTCAAGAGTGCTTATGCATAAATTCAAAGCTATAGTATTATAGTGTCACTCTTGTTCATGCCCCTCCCCCCATCTTGCAAGATCTAAGGAAGAAATACGAATCTAGGCAGACACAACACATATCCAGTTCTTGGCATGTCTAAGCAACGCCAGTTTGATGGACTTGTCCAAGGCTTATAATTCCAGTTAATAAACTTGTCCTATTTAAAGGCAGCAGATAACAGTATATCTAAAACAGTCGGTATGGGAATTCCATAGAAGAGTTGCATGTGGACAATTACTGTAGAATAGGTTCAACCATGTCCGTCTGGCCCAGGTGTTCTGATCAGGCTGGTCTTTTGTAGCACCTATTATACTACTTTGGCCTTTTAATGGAGACCCTGGAGGCCAAATGGTGACTTTTAATTGGAAGTTGGGTGCCCTCCCCCCATTCTTCCTCCTATATCTAAATCTCATCCAGTGTTGGGAAAACCTCCTAGCACTTTGAGGCATGGTTCTTTGCAAACAGAATAAACAGATGCCCTTGCAGACAGAGCTTATTCTGTAACCTCATGCACACCAGCTTGTGATTAAGCATTTTACAATGTGCTATTTCTATTCCAAACGGGTCTTAATTTAAAGCAAAACAAAATAAAAAACAGTCTCAGGAACAGATGAAATTAGCGATAAAAGTATGACTAATAAATACCAGGCGAAGAGACAATGTGTGCCGGCTGAACAAATTCCAACCCCCTTCTAAAAACATTTTGCGTTCTGGTTCAGAATTTCCCCACAGCCTCACATTTCATCTATCTCTCTGCCTGTTTATTTAGAGAGAGAAAAGTCACAAAGGGTGAAAAGAACCCCTTCGAGGTTTCAAACGATAGCAAAATGACATCTGGAACTCTGCATATGTGTGATCTGCCGGATAGCAGCTTCAAATCAGAAATGGCCCACAATGACTGGGTGTAACACTAGACTATCATGTTTGAAACTTTTGAAAAGAGAGACATATGGAATGTCACAGTTGAGCCAATTTATATTGTATAGTGCCTCACCTCACAGCTTGAGAAAGGCTGGGTAGGCCAGAAAGTAGAAAACACAGAAGAAAATCTATCCAGTGCTTTTCATGTAGTCTAAATTTTAAGCAACACCACCAGGTTTTACTGTCTCTGTTATATTCTCAAGTAGCAACCTAGTAGAACTGTTCCGAATGGCGATGAAATGAATGCTCTCACCCCAGCCCTGGTGAAAACGACACCAGAATTATTGGACGTACTGAGGCAGGCTTGCTTGGTCCAAGGTATGTCCCCAACTACACTCGGCTGTGTTTTTTCCTGATATATGTCTTAAGCTATATGTGCCCGCTAACAATTTGCACTGCGTAATTATGATTTAAAATATTGCCAACACTCAATGAAGGTGAGGTTTTCCTTTCATTTAAAATTAAATAATGAAAATCATGATGTAAAAGTCTGTATGAACCTTGCAGTTTCCATATGATGACTCTTTGGACCCTTTTAAAACAAGGAGCAACGAGCCAATCACTGCCATGTCTCTAATATAGTCTCGTATGGCTTTGGATCAAAATAAAATGAAATGAAATGAAAATAAATAAAATAAAATATAAAAAATAAAATAAAAAATGTAAAATGTAAAACAGTAAAATAAAACAATAAAATAAAACAATAAAATAAAAATAATAATAGAAATAAAATAAAAATAACTAGATTGAAAAATATGCTTAATACAAATCAGATCAGAATATCTCTTTAAGATGATTAGATCACCAAGGCAATAATGGGAAATGTTACTAAGATTGGATTCTGAAAATTCTCAAATAGCGGACATGCAAACTTTTCTGGCCATACCTCTGGAACACCTGTTCTTCTGCCATGAAACTCTGTTTTTGATTACCTACCTTTCCCTCATAAAAGATGTTTTACTGAAAAATGTTCTTATTATGTCTTATGTTTTAACTTCTAATTGTTCTAACAACAAATGGTTTAAAATATTTTAAAATAAATACAAATAATTACATTTTAATGGCCAGGTTCATGAAGGATACCATAGTATAAAGGTTCAGACTGAAACTGTACTCACACTCCAGTGAGACTGTCCAGATATGATTTATTTGCAAAGTCAGTAAATGGGCTTACTAAATGCTTTTAACACCCACTCTGTACCTTCTCTCCTATTTGTGAAATATGGAAGATAGAAACAGAGTGAAGGTTAAAGTTATTGCTTTTAGGAAATGTATAAGATTTAGCACAAGCCTTAATGGGATGTCTATATTTTCTAAAATTTTACAGTGTGTTCAGCTAGAGATACATTTCTAACCGAAACATTTTAATAGTCTTATAAAAATGAAAATGAAAAAAAAAATCTGTTTCTTGACTTTCCCATTTATTTATTTGATATATAGGCTACTTCACTCCTGAGTGATTCTGGGTTGTTAACTTTTTAAAAAAAATCTGACATATAAAAATACAACCAAATGGAGAAGCAAAAACACCTGAATAAAACCAAAACAGACCAGACCAAAAGAAAGTAAAACCAGACCAAAAGACAATCATCCTGTTCCCAAGTACTGGGAGAATAACCACATTTTTAGTGATGAGAGCAAATCTTCCTAAAATCTCTGGAGGGAAGATCATTCCAAAAAGGAGGAATTGCAACAGATGAGATGTGCTTCCTTATACCACCAAGATGATATTCTTTAAATGGTGAAACCCAGAACAAGCCCATCCTGAGGGACCCTAGTAAGTAGACAGAGACAATTGTAGACAAGAGGCCTCAACCAGGCCTATGCCTTGAAGGCCTTAAAGTTGATAATCAGCATCTTGAATTTAACCCAGATGCCAAGCAGCAACCAGGAAGCATCTGAGTCACACACATATAAGATAGCACCCCTGTTGCTGTTTGGGCTACTGCATTCTGGATCATATGTAGCTTCCATATGGTCTTCAAAGGAAGCTCCATTTGTAAAGCGTACTACATTAGTCCAATCATGAGGTAACTAGGGGATGAATGACTATCTGAAGAACTCCAGCCCAAGAAAGGACACAACTGGTATCATAAATGTACCTGTGCAAAGGCCCTTTTGGCCACAACTTCTATTTGTTCTGATTGATTTAGTCAGTTTAATGAATCAAATGCAATACAAAAATTGTTATTAATTGGGTATTAATATTAATTAGCACCAAAGATTCAGGTTATTTCATAATTAACTTTTGTTTGATTGGGTAGATCTACCATATCCATATTCCAGCCAAAATCATGTTCCCTTGAACTGGGAACTTACAGTAAGTTAAATACAAACTAATTTAGCTCATTATTCTCTAAAAATATTATTGCAACATGTCCTCCAGTTCTGTTGGCTCAATACCATAAGAACTGCACTCTAACCTGTTGGAAGGGCACAAGGTTGAGGGAGGCTGGCCAAATATCATTTGCAGTACTGTTCCGCAACTCTTTGACTTACTACCACAATTTTGGTCGTAAGTCATTGTGGTTCTTAAGCAAATTCTGGGGCACTTGCAGCATGGGGCCCTTGGACCAACCTGCCTGTAAACACCCCTTAGTGCAAACACCTTGTACCAAAATCTCACTTGGCTTTTAGCACGGACCTTTTCAGCCAGTATCTTTGAGAGCAACAGGGTTGCTTAACAAAGAGACTCCACCCTGTGTGGGTTGAAATCAATCTGGCAGGCAGCCCTTCTGCTCTCAAAGAGGCTGGCTAAATAGGTCTGTCCCAACACAGGGGCTGATGGACCTTTTTTTTCAGCCAATCCCTTAGGAACCAGAGGGAGTGGTGCCAGCAGCCAGTAGCAGCTTGCAACCTTCCTTGCTGATTTTTCCATTGACTTTCTGAGGAAGTTGGCAGAGAAAATTTCAAGTGCCAATCATAATTGTGGGACTCTTGGAATAAGTTTCCAAGAATCCAGATCTCAATCATATGACCGCAGGGTGCTGCAATGGCTATAATTTTAGGCACTGGAAGTAAGTTCCTTTTTTCAGTATCTTCGTAAATTTGAACAGTTGCTGAATGGTTGTTAAGCAAGGACTACCTATACTTATATAATGGCTTGGGTCTTTCAACCGTTCTTAGAATGTCAGGGACTGACCTAAAATATTAAAAATGCAAACAATGTCATCTACCACTGTAGAAGCCTCTTTATATACTTAAATCTAATTCAGTACTTGGTCTTGTCATGCAAAGCCTTATGCATTGTGGTGTTGCTTCCTGTGACAAGAAATGCTGCTGCAAAACCACTAAGAGATCAAAATCTACCCTTAAAATTCTGCTTCAAAAATTGTACTCTGCTAGACAAAGAAACCAAAATAATGCATTTGCCATAGATACTAATTTCCTATTAAATAATACTGTCTTGCATATCCAAAGTCTGTTTGTTAAATGAATTTGAGCTGCATAGACTCCATCATGACATGGTAGTACAACTCCCCCTGAATTTAAGTTAGATAGATTGATCAATAGATAGATATCCTCACAATTAACTCAATGGATAAATTTAACTGCAAGTGTCTCACCTATACACAAAAAGAGAAAGACTCCAGAAAGTGAAGGGAGACTTCAGTATGGGCTTACTGGAATATACATGTCAGAAATAAGTTATTGGTTCAACTAAATGTATCCTATCCATCATAATGTGTACATTTGTGTATTCAATGAATCCAAGTTATCAGACTGCATTTCAATCTAGGGCAGTGCCACTGTTGGACTCTGCACTGTTTTAGGATCAAAACTAGTAGTTACATGTAAGCAAGTGGTTGTACTACAGATTTATTACTTCCATTGGGTAGCAACTTTATCACAAACAAGCACATGACAACTTCCCTATGCCAGAAATACTTTGATACTTCCGTAAGACAGATATCCATTTAATTATGTTTGTTATCTTCACTCTGATCTGTTCTGTCCAAAGTCAGGGCAGCAATTTGTGTCCTGGAATTCATGCACACGGTATTAAATTTGCCACAAAGCCTGGCCATTCTGATCCAACTAACACGAGGAATTGAGTTGCTCCAATATCAATGGCTCTTGTTTTCCAAATAAATCAAGTTGAGCACCATGCTGCCCTCCTTGAATAACATCTGGAGAGAGCTATTTTGAACATACTTGCAATGCTTTAAATGCATCCCGAACTCCAAGCTCTCCTCAAGGAGTTGAGTGGAGTTTGGGATGCCATCCGTATTATTTTTATGTGGATGCTATGACTAAACTAACTGAATGTATGTTTTTACTATGTATATATTGAAAACAAACCAGCATGTTTGGTCCTCTATCAATTCCACTGAACTAACCAACATTGCTTTTTTCCTTTGGGAACTCAAGCACTGTTGTCATTCCAGTGGAAGTGGCTGTAGTTGTTCTCTGATTGCTTTCCTGTAAAACCAAACTGGGGCCCACCGCCTACTATTCCAACTCCTATCCATTAACCAGAGTAACTTGCTCTGAGAAAAGTCATTTTCAGTCTCTACAAGTAACATGTATTTTGAAAAAAGCCAATAGAAGTAACAGGTAGATCTTGGCACTTCTGCATTACAAGAAATCTGCTGGAGCCTTCCCACAGTCTCAGAAGCTGAATTTTTTGTTCTCAAAGATGTGCATGCTAGTTTGGTTCCATCAAGGATAAATGGCAGATGTCTTTCCTTTGTAGAAAGACAACTGTGAGCCATGGATAGCTCTTAAACATGGTATGAAAGGGGAGCTACAATTATATTCTTCTTTCAGCATATGGATTTATCTACGCAATTAAAAGAAAGCCAAATTAAAATGCATTTGAACAAATTGATTTTTTCCTTGAAAGACTGATTGAGAGAATGACATCAAATATGAAAGAATGCAAAGTTTTTATACCTGAAACAGTGTATGTGCATAGATGCACACTTTCTGGTTTTGCATTTTAAGTTGCAGCATCAATTGTAGCATTTTAAAACTTTTAAATAAGTTTTAGCATACTTATTTCCATCCTGACAGTCCCTGGCTAAACTGAACTCAGTAGCTAATAATATATTGTACACAATACACATGTAGGTTTGCAGAACACATCTTGAGCCTGGATATTAATGCCATGAGGGGCAGTAAGGCTTCTTGACAAAAATCCTAAAAAGGACAAATACAAGAATGTTTCCCTATCTGATGCCCTCAGATAGGCTGGATTAGAAAGAACTCTCCTCTTCTCCAACCAATAGTACCAAACTGGGGAAAACTATTCTAGACTCAAATAAGTGGATTATAACTCCCAGAATTCTCAACAATGATCATGCTGGCCAGGGAATCTTGGAGGTTGAACATATATTTGGAGGGTTTCCAGGGTTTTGATTTAGGAAATTCACTTTTTAGGGAAAAACAGATAAGGTTCAATTCCAGATACAACCCCTGCATGAGAGCTTGTATTTCTCATTGTCTTTGGAAGACCATGAGGAGATGGTTCTGACCAAAAGCAGATTTCCCAGGCTCTACTCAGTAGAACTCTGGGAAAATTTAATGCCACCAAATGAACCATCTAAAACAGGGGTGGGCAACTGTGGCCCTTTTACAACCTGTGGACTTCAACAGCTTGGCTTGGCTGTCTCAGGAATTCTGGGAGTTGAAGTCCACAGGTTGTAAAAGGGCCACAGTTGCCCACCCCTGATCTAAAACATTTTTTACCAACAGTAATTAGCCCCAATATGTTATCTTTCCAAAACAATGAATAGTGAAGACAAAAATACATGCCTGCTACAAGTATATATATTTGAGTGTGTTATGAACTTAGCAAAGCTTGGAGCTTTTCAGTTTTTCTTCCTAGCTTATCAATAGCTAGAAAAAGCAGTAAAAGTCAGAAATACAGACAGTGCACTCTTGTGATGCAAGTGCTGGTATCCAATACAATTCTGATCTGTATGTAAAAAAAGAAATTGTGTATACTGCAAACTAAATGCCTTCATGATCACATCTATTTGAGGGGGTTACATTTTCCTGTTACAATATAGATAAAAGTAGTAAATGTATTTGCAATTAATAACAAAACAGTCACAGTTCAGCATTTACAACCCTGAAAACTCAGCAAAGTTAATAATTAAATTTGAGGATTAAGGGGTGCCTTTTCAAGTCATACAATCTTACAGGGCTCATGATTAATGAACATCTGCTAATAGATGACATCCACAAGGGTGTTTTTATTTTTATGATTTGTTGTTTTTTCTCTCTCTCTCTCAAACACACACACAAGAACTAAATTTCAACTCTTTTAGTTTCTGGAATGCATTAAAAGAAACATTCATTTGCTTCTATGCAGATGAAATTTGGTGAAGATTGTTATAGTTACCCAATTTCATTTTGTAATTTTATGCATGAAACTAGAAATATTATTCACCAGATCCTTCCCTATCTATATACTACTAAAACTCTCATTGTGTTTATTTGTTTGTCTGTACACTCAAGTTAGCCCAAATGGTGCATTTACAGGTTTTTAAATCAAGGTATCTAAATCTATTAATTTAAAGAATGTGTAAAATAATCCAGAGCCTGTGGAATTGAAATTTCCATGATTTCAGACTATTTTGTTCACAAAGTTACGTTATTGCTGAATTCCCCGCAGTCACGTGATCATGATTTCTGAATTCCTGCCAGCTTCTCATGAGCAAAGTCAATGGGGAAGATGGCAGGAAGTCAAAAGTTGTTCCTGAGACCCCTGGGGGGTTTTTTGCCCTCCTGTGGTCATTATATCTATCTGTTTAGGTAAGCAAATATTGTTTTATTGTGAAGTTCATTTGAAATGACAATTATTTTTCTATTTTCTTCTTGAATGATCATGTAGCCATCCAGCATTGAGGAAAAAATATATATAATCAAGCTAAAATTAATACTTATTCTGGTCATACAAGGCTGTACTACCTTTCTCTCAAAGGATGACACAACAGGTCACAGATTATTTAGTGACATATATAACTCCATTGTATGTAAGGAAGCTGCATTGATTTTTTGGGGATTTACTCTTGGGGAAGTGAGCATAGACTGCAACCTGTACAGCAAATCCTCAGTTCAATGGCTCTCAGTTTGATAAGTTTTAGATACAATGGAAAGTGGTTTCAATCCTTGAGAATGGAGATTTTGCTGCAAGTGATTGCAGTCACAACATTTCCAATACTCCAGATTACCTAGATGATAAATTAGGTACCAACAGCCACCACAAATGACATCAATTCATGTATCAACAGCCACAGTTTCCGCTCAAAAGGCCTGTTAGATCAAGGTTTTTACTGTACTTTCAAAATCTGCAAAATCTAGAAATTCAAATGTAAAGAGAGAATACAGTAAATGCAAAGATGGATCATTCGGAGAACAAGCACTGAAAGTATTTAGAATATGTTGTACAAATTATAGCTCATTTCTATGGCGGGGGGGAAACAGAATGTTTAACACAATATTTCAGGTGCATGATCCAATGCAGAGAAAGGCTGGTGGCTGGCATTAACAAGCTGGTTCCATATGAATATGAAGTTCAAAAGACAGTGTCCACTAATTGGAGCCTGAAGGAGAATATCTGGCGAACACTCTCCTAAATCATAAAACAGAATAATAGATTTCTCCCAACCTGAACCTTACAGTTTTCTTTATTGATGACTTTCCTGCGACCTCCAAATTCAAATTGTGCTTCATGAAAAAAAGATCTTGGCATTACAATCTTCAACAAAGATTCAGAATGACCCACAGCTGCTAGGTTCTTACAAAGTTGGCCGACTGTTTGAGCGAAGGCAGTGGTGGTTCAATCCATTTCTGAAAGCAACAAATACATGTGTCATAATGTGTTCTACAGTATTGGATGAATTAGCAAGCAAAGGGGCCAAGAGAGAGAACTGGGGGGGGGGAGTCACCATGACCTGAACTGCTCTGAGAAAAAGGAGAGAGTTTATGGAAAATTGTGCTTTAAAACCAAGGCCTCATATTATGGAAGAGATTGGCTAAACTTGCTTTTTTCTCAGCTGTGTTTCTGAACTTGTGTCTGTGTGTGTTTGCGCATTTGATTTTTTGCTTCTCACTTTTCCATCTCCAAACCCTAAATTTGTAGTTTTCCTAACTAGTGGATCATTTCTACACTGTTCATTTCAAATCCAAATCCTAAATTCTACACAGTTCTAATTCCATAATTCAATACTGAATTATATACAGTCTTCTTTCTATCCAGCACGATTTATCTTAAAACCTATCTTTGTTATTACATCTCTAGCTGAATTCTCTAACTATTCAACCACTCCAGATTCTCTCTTTTTCTCCCCCTTTTATTGTCTCCCCTATAGTTGAAACTTCCATTGTTGTTCGAAAGTACTATTATAAATTGTAATATACAAATTAAGGATTAAGGAGCAAATGATATACAGGCAGTATTTACTGATTTATAGTCTCTATTCAGACACTCCTTTCACATGAATAATCATATGGAAAGCTGAAACTAAACTCCAGAGTTTTCTTGACCCTCCCAAAAAACCATTCATGGGGGGAGATACAGAATAGGATTCTCCACGCTTTGGGAGGCCAATAGATTACATTTCACACGCTGAAAGCATAATACGGACTCAAATAAAGTGCCTGTCACTGTGGACGTGATGAGTTACACATTTTTTCAGAAGACAAACCAATGATTTTGTTGCCTGACAGCCATTCTTCCCTTCCACAAGATACTCAAAGTTTGCTTTTGTCTTTTTGGAAGAGAAGTTGGCACTTTTCCAGGTTCTGGGTTGTTCTCACCAAACTTTTTTCATTTTCTAAGAAAGAGTAATGGGCATTCTTGAAAATAAAAATCACTAGAGGCAGGTGATTTGCTTTGCAGCATGGCAGCTTTTTCTTTTTCTTCAAAAAAACAGATTAAAATAATGTTGGTTTTTTTAAGAGGATCTAACGAATGTTAAAAGGAAATGAGTATAACACAAAGGCACTAATGCAAAGCTCTTCTTCCCTGTGTTGAAGCCTCATGTTCACATGTTTGCATCACTGGCAAAATTTGTATACACATAACAGGAGCCTACAAATATTGCCTTACTAAACACACATTTCGCTAAGATGAAGGGATGACTGGACCAGTGCAATTGTTAAATATGAAAAGGGAATGCCCGCACAGAACTTTAAATCTATCAAGAAAACAATAGGTAAACAGTAGAAATTGCTGTTTAGATTTCCATCCAAACTATAATCAGCCAAAAATTAGTATCCCAATGGAACACAAATTACTTTGTCACTCTTATAGGAATTGGGTAACTTCTATTTCTTTCCATTCAACGTGACCGAAAATAATCACAAACCATATAGACAGCAATGTCTTAAAACAGCTTAGGATCCTGTTCTCATTCCTCTTCCCTATTGTTCCTATTTTAAAAAAGAGCAGCAGATAATCTAATAATATTATTTTTGTTCATTTCCCCACTGTTTTGTTTAAATACATTGCTTATGCAGTAGTTTAATAAAAAATAAGGCCAAGTTAACAAAAACGTTAACAAAAAATGCAAAACCACTCACCAGAATGTATTGCAGGCAGATGACTATCTGTATCTCCAAATTCTGAGCTTCCATCTTGACCTCCAGGTTCCCAAGATTCACTGTTCTCAGAAACTTCAGAAAAAGTATCAAAAGTTCCTTTCTGACTATTGGCTGGATCACCAACACTTGGGGACTGACTATCACTACTTGCATCAGATACTGCTTTGCTTTCTTCTCCTAGCCTTTCAGCAAACCACAATTTAACCTGCGAGGTCGTCATCTGAGTTCTTTCACAGAGATCTTGGAGATCATCTTCATATAGAACCTTGTTCTTTTGAAAATAGTCTTGGAGGATCTCCTCGCTGACCTCACTGGAAATCGGTAGCCCTTTGGGGAAAATACCTTTTTTGTAGTTTTCATACCACCTCAGATTTCCATTTTTTAAACCATAGCGGCTATCTCCAAACCAGCGAATTACTTCAACCCTGGGAAGTCCAGTCTGACAACATATTTGGTCATACTGTTCATTAGTAGGGCGCTGTGTCTTTACAAACAGCTGTTTAAGCAAATGCCTCTGCTGAGCAGTCTTTTTAAAGCAGAGCCTAGGTTTCTGTGCCCTGCTAGGAGAACTCTCTGTTGTGGCTTGGGCAACCGATGCCGCCAACTCACTTTTCCCCTCTGATTCTGTCACCTTAAAGTTTCTAAGGTTGATTTTTATTGGGGTCACTTTACGTTCACCTGGAAGTTGAGAACTTCCAGCTTCATCCAAGGAACCATTTTCACTTGACGCTCTGAAGTCATCCAAATCCTCCTCGTCTTCTACAGACTCCTCCTCAGCATCTTCATCTGCTGGTTGTTTTCTTTCTTTCTCCGCTTTTTTCCTTTGCTCCGAGAACCAGCTGTCAATCTCTCTCCTTGTCATTTTAGTTTCGCTTCTCAGACGGTCTACTTCCTCCTCCAAAGGAAAGGGATTTTGTGCAAAGCTGCTTTCCAAAACTCTGAGTTGTTCTGGGGCCCTCTCCTTATATTTTGCAGTGGAGAAATCAGGGGTCTGATGCCAAGATTGGCGACGTGCTGGTGTGTGAACAGGTGTTGCTGCTGACGTGGAAGTTAACTCTGTGGTTGTTTTTGATGAAGTGGTAAAAGTGATTTCGGGTACAGAGTCTATTATTATTGTGCTATCCCCACCAGGCACAGATTTGTTGCCTCTAATATTTTTCCAGTGATACCTCCTATCACTAAACCACTTTCGAACTTCCCTAGTGCTAAGTCCTGTGATTTTTGTCAGACGCTCAACTTCAGCTTGGCCAGGGAACTGATTCCTACAGAAACTATCTTTCAGTGCAGACAACTGTTCATAAGACTTCTTATTTTTTAATAAGTTAGGATCCAAGAATGCTTGTGAAGAGATATTTGGGCAAGCAGAAAGTTGTGACTGAGCAGCACTAACTACATTCATGGTTGATGCAATACTGGAAACTGACACGGTGGTTGGAGGTTTAGCTATCTGGGTCTTTGGAATGGAGGTTAAACCTATTGCATGAGATGAAGTTGCTCCCTGAAGTCCATTTGTTATTATTGGTTGGGTGACCAGCATGCCACTTGCTCCTTCAGGCTTTCCAACTGAATGACCAGGCAAAGTGGCCTGAATGAGATGCTGAACACTACTAGGACTTGCAACTAAAGGTGTATTCAACACTGTAATAGTGGATTGGGGAACAGACTGAATCACAGTGTTAAACATTTTTTTCCGTGCATCTTCTATCTCCTCAGGTGACCAGCTAATACCCTGTTTCAACCTCTGGGCTGTAAACCAGATTTTCAGCTGCTCTTCTGGATACTTGGTCACCACAGTCAAGTAGCAAAGTTCAGCTTTGGTAGGGTAGGGAAACTTATGAAAAGAGTTTTTAAGAAAACTGTTAGAATCCATTGCTGCATTGTAAGTTGGAATACTACTCAAGGGAATCATTACCTTAGGAAGGGATTTTGATGTCGGTAGGTGCTGGTGAACTTGTGCTTGCTGTTGCAGTTGCACAAGTTGTGTTATGCCTGCTTGTAAAATAGGTACATTTCCAACTACTGACCCATTGACAATAGTGGTTGATTTGCCGGACTGGCTAACCGGCAGTGATCCATTGGTATATGACAGATCACCTTTTCTCTCTACATCCTTGACTGATTTACTAGACATATTTTCTTTCAGTGTGTGGATTTTTTTAACTTCTGGTTTTGCTTTCATTATCTTCATAATGGGCGTTTTGGTAATAATAATTTCAGCTTGACTCTCCTGACTCTCCTCAGGAATATCCCCCAAGTGATCCTGAGTACCACTGACGATATTTCCAGTAGTCTGTTCCACAATCATGTGGTTAGCTTGTTTCACTACATTCCAGATTACGTTTGTTTCTCCAACATGGTGCTCTGCATTGTGATGAGAAAGATCATCATGGCTCTTTACCAAGACATTACATTTCACACACAAAAAGGAGGGGTCTTTACTAAAGTCTATGTGCTCAGAATCAAGGTGACTAAGGAACTGATTAATTTCTTGAGTAGTGAAATTGCAACCTGTACATCTATAAGAAGTGCTCTCTATGATTCCATTGTGTCCATTGGACAAGGTCCCACTACCGTGATTTTCAACAGTGGTATCACAATTGGGCAGAGTACTGGGAACCAATGTCTGATGAGTTCCTTCATGATTTACTCCAACAGAAGTGGATTTCTGAGGTGCCAACATTTTTGCTGGTATCATGCAAGGTGTTGTGGATTTCCTTTTGCTGGCCATTATTGCAACCAGTGAGTACAATCAAAGCTTAGGAGGCAAATATTATTTTTTGAATAAAGTTTGCAGAGTAAATTTGAGCAAATCCATGATCCCAGACGTATGTATGTCAAGAAATGGAACAACCACTTGCGTCTGCCATTGAATCTAAAAAAAACAAGGGAACACTACATTAACCAAAGACTATGAAATCCTTATACCAGTATAATCATACAGCTTTTATTTCTCAACCACATAAGAAGATACAGAATCAATTTGCTTTTCTAGAATTCAAATCAGAACTGAATACAAAATAAATTGCCGAACCACATGCAAATAATGATGCCTTAGCATTTTGCTTGAGCAATACTCTAATTTGCAAGCACTGTTTATTTGTCAGCATTATCAGTGATAATCTAGCATCCAACGGGAAATGGATTTGTACCCATGCTACACTTTAATAAAAGAAGCATGACCCAATATGTTACCTTTAGAATATTATACTGGTGGCTCTTCTATGTGGAGCCCTGTTGTGGTGAAGTAGTCCAGACTATCAGATGCATGTCCCATAGACCAAAGACTTCTTCAAAGCACATTTCTCTGCCTCCAGTAGGATCTTCCTAATGAAGGATGCTTACGTTGGCACATAGCACAAGGAGATTCCTTCAGCCCCCAGCTCCCATCCCTTCAGTAGAGGAAAAGAGCCTTGATAGTACAGTGGTTTAGTGCACCCTGTTATTAACACAGCTGCCTGCAATTTCTGCTGGTTCGAATCTCTCCAAGGCTCAAGGTTGACTCAGCCTTCCATCCTTTCTAAGGTAGGTGAAATGAGGACCCAGTTTGTGGGGGCAATAAGCTGACTTTGTATAAAATATACAAAAGAATGAAGGCTATTGCTTAACGCATTGTAAGCCACCCTGAGTCTCCGGAGAAGGGCGGCATATAAATCAAATTTAAAAAAAAAAATCTTTGCCTCTAAAATCCAAGAAAGAAGCCATGTACCAGGGCTTGGAACAGAACTAAGAAATATTAAACTAATTATGTGTCAATCTATACAAATCTGAAAGATCCAGAAAGGCAAGCAAGAAATGTTCAAAAATCTGTTTATTTCCAAGGAATTGGTATTACGTTTGAGCTAGAAATATTGTGTAAGATTAATTTTAATTGGGAACACATATCAGTAAGTTTTATGTCTCCACTATCCCTGGTATGTATTTTCCTGATGGATGCTTAGCAATTGTGTGTCTTAGGTAATTGTCCAATAGTCTACTCAGAATTGTAGGTTTTTCCATTAGCAATTCTCTTGAGACCCTATCTATGATTCTCACTGCTCTCTGTTTTTATTTTCTCCATGAGATTGTTTTGCACATGACTAAAGTTTTTTTAAAAAAGAATGTTAACTTTTTTGTTTTCCCCTTTTTCAAAAAAAAAAACATAGTTTAATTTTGTCTATATTTTATGAGATTGTTCATAAAAGAAAGCAGGTTGATTTGCTCATGCCACAAGATCAGAAGATGGCACTATAAAAATATTTCATTTTTGTTTCATTTTTTTTTCTTCCTTTGCCAATAAGGCAAAGGTAAAGTATAGAGGTTGCTAGTGCCCAATTTATCTCAGATACCAGGGGAACAATGCCAGGTTAAAGCATCTCCCAGAAGATGTTGCAACAATAACTACAAAGCTATTAAAAGGCACAACTGGAACCAATGTGGGGGCTTCTGGCAATAGAGGCCTAAAATTGTTTAGTGATGCGCAATTAGGAAAGGGGAGATTGTAGACTGCATGAAACGAACCACCCAGCATATAAAAATGAGTGGGAGCAGGAGAAAGGAAAAAAGTCAAAGACCTTATAGAATAACGAAGTTGGAAGGGATCTTGGAGGTCTTCTAGTTCAACCCCCTGTCAAGCAGGAGACCCTATTCTACTCTGGACAAATGGTTGTCCAATCTCTTATTGAAAATCTCCAGTGATGGAGCACCCACAACTTCTGGTGGCAAACTGCTCCACTGATTAATTGTTCTGTCTGAAAACTGTAAGCTGGATCTCTCTTTAATAACCCCATTACTGTCCTCTTCTTTTTCTTCTTCTTGTCCTGCTTTGGAGAATAGGTTGACCCCCTCCTCTCTGTGGCAGTTCCCATTGGAAGACTGTTATCATGCCACCTCTAGTCCTTTTCTTTGCTAGACTAGACATACCTAGTTCCATTCATCATTTTGTTTAGCCTCCAGACTCCTAATCATATTTGCACTGTTTGAGTCTCAATATCTTTTTTGTATCAGTGTGACCAGAACTGACTCAGTATTCCAAATATGGTTTTATTGGTGCAATACAGGGTTGACTTGTTTGTTTAGTGACTGTTCAAATGGCACTAAAACAAGTGACTTATGACTATTTTTCATACTTACAACCGTTGCATGCAGCCCCATGGTCACGATAAGCTCCTTTAACTTGAAATGAACCCAGAAACCAAATAGCCTATGACTAAACTTCAAAGAGCTCTACTCCTTATTGTTGACAGACCATTTATTTATATAATTAATTGGTCATAGACTTCCCAAACAACTTTGGGAGGCTTTTAAGAACCAGTGTCTCTCTCTCTCTCCCTCCCTCTCTCCCTCTCTCCCATTCCCACTCCCTCTCTCTGTATCCCCTCCTTCTCCCCCTTCTCTCTCTCTCCCTCTCTCCCTCTCCCTCTCTCTCCCTCCCCTCTCTCCTCCCTCCCTCCCTCCCTTCCTATCAATCCTTCTATTGATACAAAAGATATAATTTCTCAGTGGAGCAGTATAATGTCCCATTTAAAAAAGGTCCCAATGCAAACAAGAAGGGTGTTTTTTTTAAAAAAAGAACAACTTCAATTATATATGTCATAAACTGGGATTACTGCTTCAGTGAATATTCCTGAAATTCATCAATCCTCTCAAAAAGACTAGACTCTCACAATTAAAAATAATGACAAGTATATCACCTATAGACCAAATACCAGAGAAACTCTAGTTCGATGCAGTTAAATTACTAGACATGCTTAATCTGAAGTTTTTTAACTGCCTGACCTTATTTCCTCAGAGTTAATATTTGCTAGGCACTTGCACGTAAAGTTAGCTTGAACTGAAGCACAGCGACAACATATCAAAGTGTAATCGAAAGGACTGTTTGTACATTTCTGTTTCCCCTGGAACAGTTATATAATCACAGTCAGAAACCTGGCGCAGCCTCACATCTGCAACTTGAGTTGTGTCCTGATCGGACCAATCATCACTGAATGCTTTTGATTAACAGGCAAATGGAGCTTCTGAATTTGCATAGTTGCAAGAGAACTACGCAATATTACAGTTTCACAGCACAACGGGCTACAGTTACTAAAACGTAGGATTGATTTACTCTAACATGACAACGTGAAGTTACTGTACAACAATGGAGACTACTGGTTTAGTTATCTAACTGCAATGAATCTGAGAAACATAGGGCTGGAAGAGACCACAATATTGCCTATCCTCTTAGTATAATGATTAGAGCAGAGGTCTTCAAACTTGGCAGCTTTAAGACTTGTGGACTTCAACTCCCAGAATTCCTCAACCAGCATAGCTGGCTGGAGAATTCTGGGAGTTGAAGTCCACAAGTCTTAAAGCTGCCAAGTTTGAAGACCACTGGATTAGAGTGTTGGATAAGAATTGCTCAAGTTCGAGGTTCAAATCCAGCTCAGTCATGAAGCTCAGTGTTGTGGCTTTGGCTGCGTGTACACTATTTTTTTATTGGTTTGCCTTGGCAGTTAAAAAAGATAGCTTTAAATATTTTAAATAAAATTATTGACTAGGTTCTTTAATCTTTCAGTATACGCATCTGTGCCAGATACACACAAGTTGTGCCATTTTGCAAGCCATGCAATATTCCCATATAAAACACACTATGGTTTAGCTTTATTTCAAGCAATGTAATATTGAAATTGAAAGTTACAGGAAAAGTTCCTTTTAATTGTACATCTTTTTAGCAAATGTTAATGATAACGTTCATGTTTTAGGATTCAAGTTTCAATACTTCTGTCTTTATTTCTGTTCCAGGGAGGTTTAATCCTTGTCTCCAAGCAAAGGATAACCAAACCTATTAAATATAGGAGGTAATATCAAATCAAATTAACAGATTTATTCAAGGGAATACCACATTCCATTCATTCATTCCATTCATTAGGATGAGCCACAGTGGCACAGTGGTTAGAGTGCAGTACTACAGGCTATTTCTGCTGATCACCGGCTGCCAGCAGTTTGGCAGATCGAATCTCACCAGGCTCAAGATTGACTCAGCCTTCCTTCCTTCCGAGTTCGGTAAAATGAGTACCCAGATTGTTGGGGCAAATTGCTTGCTCTGTAAAACGCTTAGAGAGGGCTGTAAAACACTATGAAGCAGTATATAAGTCTAAGTGCTATTGCTATGCCAATAGTTTGGTTTTGATTTCACTCAATTTTAACTTGCAAGAAAAAAAACTTAATTAGCATATCTCCTAAACTCCAGTTTCAGAAAATGACTCATATAACCCTTATTGAGATTTTTGATGTATTCATTGCTTTTGTTCTTCTTTGTCTGTCTTTCATACAGGGAACAGATTTAGAGAAGTATAGCTTTCTTCCTTACCCACTCCAAAAAAGAATTAGGAACTACCTAACTGGAATTGTACTCTATATCAGGGATCCCCAACCCCCAGTCCATGCACTGGCATTGATCCATGGCATGCCTGTAACTGGGCCATGCAAACAAGCAAAGTCCCATCCGCGGGATGTAGGCAACATGTGAAATCACACACACATCCTCCATTCCATGGAAAATCCTCTCTCCACAGAACTGCTCCCTGGTGCCAAAATGTTGGGGGCCACTGCTCTATATCATTATCTATTCTATTACAGTTCAGCAGATGCATACATCATTGGCTGTGTTAACTGGCAAATCCACTTAGGGGAGGCTAACCTCTGATTTTCATTTGTAGTATGTAGTGGTAATAGTACTATTTCTTACAGTACAATTTCTTATAGTAGCCATCCTGAACTTGAATGAACTTGAATATTTGTCAATGGAATTGAATATTTTCCTCACCTCTGGCAATCATGGGATAATGGCAAATCTAATCTAACAAATACAACTGATATCATGAAGACATTACTAACCAGAACGTCTTCTAAATA